TATGAAAAAACCCCCCCCCCCCCCATAACTAATGAATGGCTCAGATCTGACCTTAATTTTATGTCATATCATGACCGCCTTAAAAAATTCCTACACAAGAAATAAAAAATATCGGTCATGGCCGCCAGAAGGCCCAAATTGGCACTCCTCCTTTATAGAACATATGCCCATATTGGAGTATGCCGATGTGTTATCTGACAATTCCATTATCTATTACTGCTGTATCACATTTGATGCCTTGAACGAAGGAGATGGATGTATATATTTCACATAGAGCCTGAGAAAGGTATCCGACTCTTTTGGTGTGAATGATCGTCTTCTGTGTGAGAGCAGGTCATCTGTTGGCGAATTGTTCTTAAGATATCAAATGTATTGTTTTGTCATTGTAAACCATCATTTGTAACAAAACAACACAATGCTGTCCCTTAAGATATGTTAATTATTTATAAGAGAAAAGACATTTTAACACACCTTAACATTTGCGAGACGTTATTCCTTTAAGCTCCAGCTCTTATGGTTGGAGACTGCAAATCATTTAAATGTATTTACCTATTTTCTACATGGGCGGCTGTGGGCGTTTCAGCTTTCGCGGTAGCAGGTGATGTAGTCCTATGAAAAATAAAACAATGGAGAATGTTTTAGCACAACTTAACCTTTGAGACAAGTTATTCTTGACTTCCAGTTCTTATGATTGGGGATTGTTATCAATTATATGTATTTACCTTCTTCTTTACAGGAGCTGTGGACTCTATTTCCTCTGTAGAAAAAGGTACAGTCCTCTGAAAAATAAAGAAAATGGATAATGAATACTGTGTTTCTTTTCATTTTTAATTGAATTACACGACAACCCTAGCCATACCGTATTTATATGCAACATTATTTGTAAACTTGTACCCAATTCTGCTAACACTGTAATTTCCTTTGCTAATTATGATCTAACTCTAAATGCAACCCAAAGTAACTACACTAGCTTAATGCTAACAACCTTGCATAAGAAAGTAACTATATAGCACAACTCTAACCCTAACTGCCAGGATGTTTATGCTAAATAAGTAACGAATATGCTAAACTAGTAACGTATTGCGCTCACTTTGTAACAAAAAACTCTAGCTCTAATTTTTAACCAATTATGTATAATAACCTTCATTCACGTCGTTGCTCTTGGATGGGATTCTGGAGTGCTTTCAACGGGATGCGGAAACTTTACGCTGTTAAATTGGAAACGTGAAAGGGGGTTTAAATATACAATTTAAAGTAACGCAAAGAACGACTAAGTTAAAATGATATTTTGAAACGAATGGTACAACCTAATATCGGTGTTTATCACTACCTTTGACTTGCGGACCACGGTTGTAATCATTGTTGACACGTGGATGGCGTTGTTGATCTTACTTTATTGTAGTATCTGTCGCTGGTCGCCGTTCCTTGATTCATGTGTGATGCTAGTGGTTCCATGGCCTCTTGTTAATTACCTGTTTAATGTTAAGCTGGTCAGTGGCAAATGTGCGTTCCCCGATTCTGTATAGGTATAGAATACGCTTTTGATTATACACAAACTTATGTAGTAGATTCCTCATTGATTTATTGACTTGTGGATACAGAAACAGACGATGTGTCATACCTACGGTAGCCTGTTCATACTGGCTTCATTATGTTGAGTTATCTGAGAAATCGAATTTTTAGGAATAATCACATGTATGCATGTTACAACTGAAATAAACTCCGTTTATGCTAAACCCGTGACAAATTCTACTATAACTCCCTATATTAATTGTGATCTAACTCTAATCCTAAGTAATCTGATTAGCTTAATGTTACCAATCTAGCATTAACAAGTTACAATATAGCATAACTCTTCCCCTAACTTTGCTTCTGCTACAATTGTTACATCATTACTCATCGTAACGTCATACATATAGGACAGGGGAACATCACTGATACACATAAAAACTTGGATACAAGAAAGTCAACATTACTATTTCTAGAAATTAGATCCATATTTACATCTACATCACAAACGCTACTGGAGATTAGACAATTACCTCTGGCACGATAGAACGTTATAATAGTTCGGATCACAAACTATCCCGAAGAATCTCAACGCTATTGTAGAGAAAAGGCGCGGATACGTTCGTTCAGGGTAAAGGGAATTATGTTCTCAAACAACTGCATAAAGCAATTTACGCGCATTAATTTACGGTCCAGGGGAGACCACTCTCTCCCAGTTATCTTTGTTGAAATTAGTGAACGATTGATAAATAACTTCAAAATATCTTCTGTGCAGGATGTTACTGAAAGACGGATAAATATTGCTGTTGAACTTTATCAAACAAAATATGTTCCGTTTGAACGAGACACAACATTGGCCTCTTCATCAAGTTTAACGACAAGTCTAACATAATGTCACCGATATCTTTACCTTCGTCACCCCAGTATGAAAATGCTATTAAGTCGTTTATTTCTTGTCTGCATCCTGTTATAACAAGACTTGATATTTGTATCAAAAACCTGTTCACCGGTTCACACCTGAACAGTTGTCAAATTTCAGTAAACCTAAAAGCATGTGTTTCAGCACCAACGTACGCTGTTTTTTGGCGATGTTTTGACATTGCCTCTGTCACGTCGTATTTATATATTTGTTGTTTGTGTACGTGCGGTGTTTTCGTTGTTCCTGTCGGGCCACCGTATCTTGTGTGTGACAAGGCAAGTGGGAATTCATGGCAGTCGCTTGATACCAAGCTGTTGTTTACGGGGTATCTACCCGATTTTTATCTGCAATAGCGGATGTGTAACATGTACAGGCACAGATTACAGATTGTGGTAAGTCTATCTTTATAATTTTCCCTATGTTTCACTGTTTTCTTTGCCCGTTCCTTATCTTTCCTTATCTTTGGTAAACATTCGCTTAGGTCGTTCGGCTCAGTCATGCATAGCATTATCATTATTATGAGTAATGCTAAATTAGGGCAGATATTCTTAAATATTTTGTTGTTATTAGCTAGGAAAATCCTTATTGTAGACAAGTCTATATACTGAGGCAGTTATTATAACTTGTTTATATTCTGTTGACATTTAGAATACTCAGACGAGAACATGTGTATGTTTGATAAAATATGGAGGCCGTGAGATACCGTAAAATGTCTTGTGTATCGTTTTCGAGATAGTCGTTAGGTATCTCTGAGCCCGCACGAAACCTAACGTGATATTATTACTTTAATGACTCTTTACACTATGTAATATAACGAATGATAGTAATTTAGCGGTTTGCTATGGAAATTGCTAGTATTCAAATATTGATTGATTATATCTTAAGTTGTGCAAGTGTTGTATGTAGGTTTTAGTCTTCGTTATTATTATTCTTCAAGTTCTATATGACGGTCACCACAACTTCAGTTACCTCAGCCAGGATCTGTTACTAGTAAGTGACTTCACCAGGACCTTTTGACAGTAAGGTCAGCCAACTCACTAGAACGCCAGGACAGGTGTTAAGGTGGACATCGCAAGCCAGGTTCATCTCGATTACTAGTAAGTGACGGCACAAGGACCTTTTGACAGTAAGGTCAGCCAACTCACTAGAACACCAGGACAGGTGTTAAGGTGGACATCGCAAGCCAGGTTCATCTCGATTACTAGTAAGTGACGGCACCAGGACCATGGACAGTAAGGTCAGCCAACTCACTAGAACGCCAGGACAGGTGTTAAGGTGGACATCGCAAGCAAGGTTTATCTCGATTACTAGTGACGGCACCAGGACCATGGGCAGTAAGGTCAGCCAACTCACTAGAACGCCAGGACAGGTGTTAAGGTGGACATCGCAAGCGTTTTAAACAGAGAGTCTGCGCTGTTGGGTACAGTGCATATATGGATACTGCGATCATGGGAAGCACTGCAGCGTGTGTTGGATGACATGAGTGACATACTCTCTTGTTTGGCACATGCAGTGCCAGGTTGCTACTGATCACTCAGCCTTGGTGAAACTATTTGTTCTTGGAAGTTTTCCTCTGTTGAACCAATGACTGTGTTCGTCTGCGGAATTGAAACTTTGTGTATGATTGTGAAAGACTAATCTAGTGATTTCATAGTGTATTGCATTATTTGTGTTAAACTGGATGAATGAGCTTTTGTGTTTTGATTGTGTTGTAAATAAATCTTCCACACACGCACACGCACACGCACGCACACACACACACACACACACACACACACATATATATCATCAAACACAAGCTGTGTTCCGTGTAAACCTCTAGGCTTTTTAGTGATGGCCTCCCTCATCTCTACCTAACGTCCCTCTAACCCAAGGATTTAAGTAACTTTACTACGTGTGTAAGAGTTAGCTCCCTTCCATCATCATTTAAAGTATGATGCATAGATTGTGTCTATCATCAAGCACATGGAAATAATCTTCTCTGTCATTTATCTTTCATTACCTGTCGGTAAAAGCTGTATTCAACAACAGAGAGAGAATCCGGTTGGTTAACAAAGTGTTCATTTAGTAAGTAGTAACCCTACCGGATATATATATATATATATCAACATGAAAATTGTTCACCAAGGAATTACTTGAAGCTGGAGAAAGCTGCAGAGGAATTCGAATTCGATTACCAAGAAAACTTATGGTATAAGAGGTATATTTAAAATAATCACAATTTTACTGAAACATATTGCCCTGCAAGTCCTTTCGCTTGGAAAGAGTTTGAGGCAACAAATGTCGACCAATCTGTGGTAACGATATCTTTAATGCATGACCCAAAAATGTATAGATGTATATTTATAGACGTCTTCCGTGTCTCTGAAATAGCTTTAGCACAATTTGTGTGGATATGTCCAGTCGGAATTACATTAATTCGCTACACCGACCAGACCCTGGTATTTGTTAGTCTCTCTTCATCTATATGATGTATAACATATAGCATGTCACACTGCCAAATAATCTCAGTTGTCATGTGGGATGTGTCGAGGGATATTTGCGAATATCAACACGACAGGAACCAATGACTATGGTCAGTCAAGAGAAACCTGTTGACATCCACCAGTCAAACCGTCGAAACGACGGGAAAACTGTGGACAGCCACCAGTCAAACCGTCGAAATGACGGGAAAACTGTTGACATCCACCAGTCAAACCGTCGAAACGACGGGAAAACTGTGGACAGCCACCAGTCAATCCGTCGAAATGATGTGGAAACTGTTGACAGCCACCAGTCAAACCGTCGAAACGACGGGAAAACTGTGGACAGCCACCAGTCAAACCGTCGAAATGATGGGAAAACTGTTGATAGTCACCAGTCAAACCGTCGAAACGACGGGAAAACTGTGGACAGCCACCAGTCAAACCGTCGAAACGACGGGAAAACTGTGGACAGCCACCAGTCAATCCGTCGAAATGATGTGGAAACTGTTGACAGCCACCAATCAAACCGTCGAAATGAAGAGAAAACTGTTGACAGCCACCAGTCAAACCGTCGAAATGATGGGAAAACTGTTGACAGCCACCAGTCAAACCGTCGAAATGATGTGAAAACTGTGGACAGCCACCAGTCAAACCGTCGAAATGACGGGAAAACTGTGGACAGACACCAGTCAAACCGTCGAAATGATGGAAAAACAGTTGACAGCCACCAGTCAAACCGTCGAAACGACGGGAAAACTGTGGACAGCCACCAGTCAATCCGTCGAAATGATGTGGAAACTGTTGACAGCCACCAGTCAAACCGTCGAAACGACGGGAAAACTGTGGACAGCCACCAGTCAAAACGTCGAAATGATGGGAAAACTGTGGACAGCCACCAGTCAAACCGTCGAAACGACGGGAAAACTGTGGACAGCCACCAGTCAAATCGTCGAAATGACGGGAAAACTGTGGACAGCCACCAGTCAAACCGTCGAAATGATGGGAAAACAGTTGACAGCCACCAGTCAAACCGTCGAAATGATGGGAAAACTGTGGACAGCCACCAGTCAAACCGTCGAAACGACGGGAAAACTGTGGACAGCCACCAGTCAATCCGTCGAAATGATGTGGAAACTGTGGACAGCCACCAGTCAAACCGTCGAAACGACTGGAAAACTGTGGACAGCCATGAGTCAAACCGTCGAAATGATGGGAAAACTGTTGACAGCCACCAGTCAAACCGTCGAAATGATGGGAAAATGTGGACAGCCACCAGTCAAACCGTCGAAACGACTGGAAAACTGTGGACAGCCACCAGTCAAACCGTCGAGATGACGGGAAAACTGTGGACAGCCACCAGTCAAACCGTCGAAATGACGGGAAAACTGTGGACAGCCACCAGTGAAACCGTCGAAACGACGGGAAAACTGTGGACAGCCACCAGTCAAAACGTCGAAATGATGGCAAAAGTCCATTTAGACTTGTATGCTGAAGAAATCACGTCAACAAGATGATCATTAAAAAACAAAGATTTAAAGACGTCTTTGTTTGTTGGAAGAAGTAGACGATTCTCCAGAGGACATCGAGGACATGTATATTACCAGCAAAATATGTCATCAGACTGATGGATAAGAAGGTGTTTTCCTATCTAATGGGAAATAATTATTTTGTAAAAGCCAACCATTTCTGGAAGTAAATGGATTTCTGATCGGATCTGTCGATAGAGATGACTGCAGCGGTCTCACCACCAAGAATTTTTTTTTATATTTCAAACATTTCAGTGTCATTTTCTCTGAACTTTGAAGACATCTACTATTTGCACACATTCCCATAGCCTTCAGACAGCGACCCAATCTATAAATGTTATGCTGATATTATTTGGATTTTAAAGCGCCTTCTTGAATGTTACGTCGTCAAAAAAGAACTCCTTCAACATCACATCTATCTACATACACATTGTAGTACATGAATGTGCAATTAAGCATGATGCCACATGACAAGTTAAATGCTATTTGTCTGTACATACATTAAACCACTGATTAATAGACATATCACCAACACTTTCTCCTAATTGGTTTTGCAACCTTTAATGTGGCTATTCTCTTTGATCCTCGGCCTTTAGAGGAGTTATTCTTCGTCATTACCGAGGGCGGGTCTGCTCGTAACTTGTTTTAGTGTTAACTCTGCGATGATGCTATAATGTGAGTAATTATAAGATTGTCTGCACGGACTGGACTAAAGTAAGCTTTAAAACCAAATGTCCAAACGGAACACATTTTCCGTATACATCAATAATCTTTTAGAAAGTAAACCAAATGTTTTACTCTAGTCAAGATCAGGACTTTGCAATAGACGGAATGAATATTTTATAAACCGAGATTTGAATGTTTATACTGGGATGTTAAGCTTACAGTTGTTAGCCTGTACATGTATATTCGCCTTTTTACCCTATTACCGAAGTCGTAAGAAATACACCTCCGAGTCCGGACCCAGACTTAGACATCCACGCATCAGTGATTTGTTACTTCCGCTTCCTTCTCATCGCCTCTTCGTACAGACAGTTTGACCATATAATGCGATCATTTGCTTCGGAATTCCATTTCTCAATTAACATTAACCTGACTTTATAGGGCTTAGAGATAACGAACTAACCACCTCATTTCTTTATTTCATGGTGGGCGTTTTAAGAGACTTGTAAATGGAACAATTGATTTTTTTAACATCCTAGTTTGATTTTCTGTAATCAACCTTTGACATGGAAATATCTATCTATCTATCTATCTACCTACCTACCTACCTCTCCCTCCCTCCCTCCCTCCCCCCCTCTCTCTCTCTCTCTCTCTCTCTCTCTCTCTCTCTCTCTCTCTCTATCTATCTATCTATCTGTCTATCTGTATATACACATAACGTCCTATTTAATAATCCCTATTTGTCTTCCAATTAGCTACTAATGTATAATGGCATGTGATGTATATGGTTTAGTTTACATTTCAATATCGTGGATTAGTTCACACAATGCTTAAATGAACTTCCGAGCAAATGAAGAAGATAGAATAGGACTGGACAACATGTGAAGTGCCTATAGGAGGAAAAATGGATGATGTTGATTTCATGAGGGAAAATGCTTATGTTAGTAATTTGTTCAAATCTATACACATAGTAAGGGTGATGGCTTGATTTCCTTATTAGCAATTTTCCATTTCTAGTTTGCCACATGTCTTCCCATCTAATGATATTTATATCGAAGCTGATGCCATAGTCCCAATATCACGATGTTCCCAATATCACGATGTCCACAACTGACAAATGAATTAAAGACACAGGACTAATTAATTAACAGGAATGAAGCAGAAGACGCTTACTAACACCTCCAATGGGTCACATCGAGCTATACAACATAGTAGATTCCAATTGGGATGCATTAGCCCAAAGGTACTAGTACTAACCGATCTGTAACGGTTTTCTCTCTAGCTGTAACCTTCCATTTGTTATATATGATATAAATGTCTATAAATGTAAATAAGTGTATATCGTATCTATATTGATTGTTTTGATAAACAGATACTGACAAAGCCAAAAGTTGAATGTTTAACACAAATAACAATGGTTGAATTAGTTGTTCCTTGTAACAGTTTTTACTACAGTGATTGTTTCTGATATAGCAGTTGATGTTGTTGGAGTTACTGTTAAATTTCTAGTATCTGATTATATTCTTTGTGATATGATTCTTTTAGGAGTTGTTTCCTTATCTGATGTTGACGAGTTGTTTCTACTAATATATATCACAAGATAGATGCCTATCAATGCATATGTACAAGCCTTGTTCCTAATTACGGTAGCGCCAGTCCCTTTTGCTATCTCCTTGTCAATCCAAGTTCTGCCTTCGGCCTCCTTCATTGAAATACTCCTTCAATAGTTCTCTGTGGTACGAAAATTGCTAGGACGAAAACAGATTTAAAATTCTTAACAGACAAATGATATATATTTATATCAGTCATTAAGAGGTGGGATATCTTTCAATCTTTAATCAAAATCAAGCTTTTTTATGTGTTTTCTTCGATTTGCTCTCTTTACATAATTCGGTTGACTGTTATAAAGAAAGGGATTTATGGCGACAAGGCGATGGACTGTTAGTAAAAATGCATTTAGTTAATGTCGGATATCATCATCATCATCATCATCATCATCTGAAATTACTAAATTTATCGGAAAATATTATATACATATATTTTTTTTGATTGAAATGATTGAAATATTTTAATATGTCATCATTATCTGAAATTATATCCCTTCTCGGAAAACATTATACACAAATGTTCATTCTTTAAATTGAAATGATGGAAATATTTACGATTTCGACTCATCAAAAGATATGATTTTTCACTTTAATATTGTTGTAAAATGAATTGGGAACAGCTTTGGACAAAGCTATTTATTGAATGCTGACCTCACAGTCAAACAGAATGTTATTGAACAAGTGATTACAGAAGTCTGCTGTTGACATAGGGAGATTGGCCAACTTATGTACACAAAACGGAGGCCTCTTTACAAATGAACTCTGCACTGTACAGCTAAAGGCATAATGAAATTATAAGATAGCGAGATAGAAACAAATCAATGCTACAGTACGGGATAACCTAAGACGACTACCATCACAGAGGAACGTATTGTAAAATTAACACGTGTTAGAATTCAATATTACAATATACAAATAAAAAAAGGGGCACACCACTGGGATGTTGTGTCACAAACGTCAATGTGAATTATAATTATGAAAAGTTCGTTCGATGATGATGGGGGTTAAAGTATCAATAATAAAAAAATAAATAAATAAATAAATAAAAAAAAAACAAAAAACAAACAACAAAAACAAAAATATTAATCATTCTAACGTCTGGTGTCGGTGTCAACCTTTCGTCAAAGTGTCTAGTAACCTCTGGCGTAGGAACCCTATTTCTGTCAAAGTGTACGTCTGATGTAGGGGCCACCTTTACGTCCAAGTGTCTATCGTCTGGCGTAGGAACCCTATTTCTGTCAAAGTGTACGTCTGATGCAGGGGCCACCTTTACGTCCAAGTGTCTATCGTCTGGCGTAGGAACTCTATTTCTGTCAAAGTGTACGTCTGATGTAGGGGCCACCTTTACGTCCAAGTGTCTATCGTCTGACGTAGGAACCCTATTTCTGTCAAAGTGTACGTCTGATGTAGGGGCCACCTTTACGTCCAAGTGTCTAGTAACCTCTGGCGTAAGAACCCTATTTCTGTCAAAGTGTACGTCTGATGTAGGGGCCACCTTTACGTCCAAGTGTCTAGTAACCTCTGGCGTAGGAACTCTATTTCTGTCAAAGTGTACGTCTGATGTAGGGGCCACCTTTACGTCCAAGTGTCTATCGTCTGGCGTAGGGGTCACATTTCAAAAATAGTATAACGACAATCCAAACGATTAAGTTGATTTTTTGTATCTATTTATTTGTTTTCTGTCTTTAGATGGGATGGATTAGAGAAGGATTAAGTACCTACTGTACAACAAGTCGTTTTTTCTGATTTAATGCAAGTTAGTAATTGTTATCAAGATGTGATTGTATTGTTTTTTCCTTCCGAAAATATTTCATTGGAAATGAATGTTTCCCCACTGCTGCCTAGGGAGAACACTGGATATGGAATGGCCTGGTAGAAAATAGATGATCGATGGAACCACAGTTCATAGTTATGTAAGGCATTTGGACATTATTACCAGCATTGTGTCACTTGGATATGCTGTAGGTCATTTAATACATTTTTAATCACGAACTCGTTCATCTCAAGAGGACGATATGAAGGCAATGTTATTTGTTTGTTAGCGTTCATCTGCAAGTCACTGGGTATGATAGTACAACACTATAGTTTATTAAGTTTTTATTTTCTGTTGTAAATAATTCAAATACACTTCTACTATCCTGCAGATATCAATCACTAATAAATACTATAGGCAAAAACATATTAATGGTCAAAATATTTGATTTCGGTCGGTCTGCAAGAATCAGGTCCATCCGAATAAGTTTTACTGTTCTTATCTGCACCTGTATTGTCCATGGGCGTTGTTTTAAGTACTGCCGTGCATATGTGAATCCAATTGTTTGATAAAGAATTCTATGTGATTATTCTGAATTTACTTTCAATTAAATCATAGGGGGAAAATCATTTATAATTATTTAGTAAAATGCCGTTTTGTGAGCTATATATTCGAATTTATCTGAAAGCATATACCCTACACAATCTACAGACGTCACAAAACGCACGTTAAAGTGATATAATGCTAGTTTTAACTCCGTTTTATCGAAGTAGTCAACCATCTGATAAAAAACATACTGCGTTATCAGGATTTCGACGGCATGACCGCGAAAACATTTGAAGGCCGAGAAAGGATTGTCATGTAATTTGATTTGTTTAATTACCATGCGATTTCAATAATGACATTTCGAGAAGCAAATTATTTGATAAAACAATAATGAGAGAAAGGAAAGTTTTTCAATGTTC